GCCGCCGCGCCAGGCCTGCGCCTGCCCACCAGCAACAGCGACCCCCGCTTCGACCGCGAAGACGGGGAGCTCGAGACCGAGGTGGAGCCGGGCTGCTGCCCCTGCCAGCACCCTCCTCCCGGGCAGGTCCTTCCACCGCTGGAGGCGCAAGAGGCCTCGTTCCAGAAGAAGTTTGAAAACTTCCTGCACAATGCCATCACCATCCCCAAGTGCGGCGCGGAGAGCGGGGAGAGCGAGGGGCCGAGCGGGCCCGGGGGCGGGGCCCGGGGCGGGGCCTGGGGGCGGGGCGTGTGCAGAGAGGGCACAGGGGTATGTTCAGGGAGTCCTGACACGGCCCCTCCTTGGCCTCCCCAGATCCCCTTGGAAAGTGACGTCCATTCACAAGAGTTCACCCCAAAGGTGAGCAGGGGCGGGACCTGGGGCGAAGGGGCGGGGCTCCCTTGGCTGGACTCTGAGACTGACCCTCTCCTTTCCCCAGGGACCCCGGCAGGTACCGCCGGGCCCAGGGGACCCCTCGACTAGGAGGGAACAGCTCGGATTTCGAGATCCAAGAAGACAAAGTGCCCCGGGAGCGAGCGGTGCTCAGCGGCCTGCGCCACTTCACCGAATACCGCATCGACATCCACGCCTGCAACCACGCGGCGCACACCGTGGGCTGCAGCGCGGCCACCTTCGTCTTTGCCCGGACCATGCCCCACAGTAGGTGACCTCGACCTTCCCCCTCCGATCTTCCACCCCCCACCAAAAGGGGGTGCCGATCTGGGTTGATTCCCCGTTGCCCTCAGGGCCCCTCTTCACTGCTACACCCAATTTCCACCATCCCCGAACCGCCCAGCTTCGCCCAAACCTTGGGTTTGAACTTGAGGCCGAGGAGGAGAACTATTTGGCCCGGCTTCCGGGTGTCCCTCCCGCAGGAGAGGCGGATGGAATCCCAGGGAAGGTGGTGTGGGAGGCGGCCAGCAAGAGCAGTGTCCTCCTCCGCTGGCTCGAGCCGCCCGACCCCAATGGACTCATCGTCAAGTACGAGATCAAGTACCGCCGCTCTGGAGAAGTAGGTACTCCGGGGACCCCTCTGTTCCAGCCGAGGTTGGCACCTGAAGCCCCCTGCCCAGCCAATTCCCTTGTGTTGCCTGCAGGAGGCCACGGTGCTGTGCGTGTCCCGCCTACGATACGCTAAGTCTGGGGGAGTCCATCTAGCCCTGTTGCTCCCTGGAAACTACTCCGCCAGGGTTCGAGCAACCTCGCTGGCTGGCAATGGCTCCTGGACAGAGAGTGTCGCCTTCTACATTCCTGGTCCAGGTACACACAGCCTCTGTTTCACACCTGTACCCTGAAACAGATGCACCTGGGTCCCGACCCCACCTGTCCTCTGACGGCTCCGCCTTGTACTGCGTTCTGACCCTGTCCTATCACCCGCAGAGGAGGAGGACTCCGGTGGACTGTATGTCCTCCTCACGGTCACCCCAGTGGGGCTCATGCTGCTCATCGTCCTTGCTGCCCTCGGTTTCTTCTACGGCAAGAAGAGGTGATGACAAGCCCCAGCGCTTCCCCTCCCTCTGCTCCCTCTGAGCCTTCATCCTGCCGTGGGAGGGGCGGAATGTGCTTGTGTGAGGGTGACTGAAGACTCAGAGGCGCTGTCCCTCACTGTGCCCTGAGGAGACCAGCTTGCCCTGGTGTGCCTGGGACATCCCTGGTTTTAGCAGTGAAACTCCTGCATCCCAGAAAAGCCAGTTCTGAGTGTCCAGGGGAATCCTGGCCACCCTGCTCTCAGACCAAAGCGAGAAATAATGGAGGTAGTCCTGCCATAGCAGAGGAAAGGGCAGGGCACCCACACACACACACACCCGGCAGTGGTGGTGTTGGTGTTAGGTTTTCCTGGACTGAATAGAAGAGGGAAATTATTAGAGGGGCACTAGGAGCTAGCTGAGTGGGTGGGGCCCCTACACACCTGTCAGGTCCCAGGACCAGAACCAAGACTGGCTTAGGGTGCTTAGGGTCGTCCAGGACCCTGTGCTGCATTTGGGAGTGTGCTCAGTAAGGTCCCTTGTCCTCTGACTCTGCTCCTGCCTTCCTGGGGACCCTTCTCACCTGGCCTCACCTCCCATTGCAGAAACAGCACCCTGTATACCTCTGTGAATCCAGAGTACTTTAGCGCCTCTAATAGTAAGTCTGGGGCCTGGGGACCAGGTGGGTGGGACACAGAGGCCTTTTTGCAGAAGATGGCCTTGGGATCTGAGCCCTTCTGAAGGGGGGGGGCGGGGAGTGGGGGGGAACACAGCAGTGAGCAGCATCCTGGTCTGTGACACCCTACTCCTACCCCACCCCACCCCACTCCCGTCTCCCAGTGTACATCCCTGATGAGTGGGAGGTGCCCCGAGAGCAGATCTCCATCATCCGGGAACTGGGCCAGGGCTCTTTTGGGATGGTGTATGAGGGACTAGCTCGAGGACTTGAGGCTGGACAGGAGCCCACTCCTGTAGCCCTGAAGACGGTGAACGAGCTGGCCAGCCCACGGGAACGCATTGAATTCCTCAAGGAGGCGTCTGTTATGAAGGCGTTCAAGTGTCACCATGTGGTAAGAGGAGATCGGGGGGCACTGTCAGGGTCACCATTAAGGTAGAGGTCATCTGATGAGGACAAAGGGTCAGGGATGAGGTCAGAGCCCCATCAGAGTCAGGATTGGCACTGTGATTAGGATTCCCATAGGAGTAAAGTCACTGTTGGGCTCAGCATCAAAGCAGGACCACGATATGTACAAATGTGCTTGATACAACTCATGTATGGATTATGATAAGAGCAGTAACAGCCTCCAATAACATGATATATTAAAATTTTAAGAAGCAAACAAATAGGGCCGTGGTAAGGTCATGACTAGGACTAAGATCTGTCATCGCTGGAGTCAATATTGGTGTGTTTTCATTCTTGAGGTTACAATTGAGATCAAGGTCAAGATTGGGCTAAGTTCATGGTCAGATCTGATCAAGGTCATGGATTAGGGTTCATCAGAGTCTTTGTTAGGGTTAGGGCTACAGCCATGGTTTGAGATACAGTCAGAGTTGGTGTCTGGATCATGTCTGGGTCTTTGGGTCACAGTGAATCAAGGTCTCAGCCAGGTGGATTAAGGGGAGCTGATGGAGGTGAGGGGGTGGGGACCTGCAACCAGCCCCTTTGTTCATCATAGGTTTGTCTCCTGGGTGTGGTGTCCCAAGGCCAGCCAACTCTGGTCATCATGGAGTTAATGACCCATGGAGACCTCAAGAGCTACCTGCGATCTCTGCGGCCTGAGGCAGAGGTGGGGTCAGGAGGACCCAGGATCCAAGGCCCTGGTGTTCTTCTCCCAGTGCTGGGGGGTGCCATGGTGGGGGGCAGTCTTTGGGCAGGAGTGCAGCCTCTCAGAGCCTTCATCAGCCCTCTCTTGGCCCCAGAACAACCCGGGGCTCCCACAGCCTGCGCTGGGGGACATGATCCAGATGGCTGGGGAGATCGCAGACGGCATGGCGTACCTTGCCGCCAACAAGTTTGTGCACCGAGACCTGGCGGCCCGCAACTGTATGGTGTCCCAGGACTTCACCGTCAAGATTGGGGGTACAGAGGGTAGCAGGTAGGGGGTAGGGGGTCAGCTTGAAGAGTAAGGGGCCTCCCTAAACTAGGTGTCAGATCTGGGCCTAAGGCACATCCCATAAGAACGTTTGCAGGTCATTCCCACGCCAGCGTTCAGGCTCCTCTTGTTGGCAGAGGGGCTACGGCGGGGTGGGGTCCATCCCCTCAGGGGTCTTCTGAGCCCTTACATTCCAGGACTCTTGGAGAGCATGGAGGTGGAGAGGGATGGCATCGCTCCTCTCCTCCACACTCCTGCCCCCTCACTCTCCAGACTTCGGGATGACTCGGAACGTGTACGAGACCGATTATTACCGCAAGGGCGGGAAGGGACTGCTGCCTGTGCGTTGGATGGCCCCAGAGTCTCTCAAAGACGGAATCTTCACCACTCACTCGGATGTCTGGTGGGACCTCCAGGGGGCACAGGGCTCAGGGCATGGGGGGCTTGGGATCTGGGGAGGGGCTGGGCACTATCCTCCCTCTGGGGGGGGGGCAAGGGTGCTGGCCTCATGCTCCCCTTCGCACCTTGCAGGTCCTTTGGTGTGGTGCTCTGGGAGATCGTGACCTTGGCCGAACAGCCCTACCAGGGCCTGTCCAATGAGCAGGTGCTCAAATTTGTCATGGATGGTGGGATCCTGGAAGAGCTGGAGGGCTGTCCCCCTCAACTGTAAGTCACCCCATCTTACCTCTTCCGCATCCCACTCGGTCGTGCCCCAGTGGCTCTAGTGACGCTTCCCCAGCTTTGCCGTGGGGTGATTTGAGGTGATTCCAATGCAGAGTGACCCCCAAGGACAGAGTAGAACGGCCCCCCAGGCCTTCCTGGGCCCTCTGCCTTCTGGAAGCAGAGCATCAGGCCTTTTCTCCCATGAGCAGCTGGGTTCTAATCACTGGCCTTTGGGTTAGCAGCCATGTGCTTACCTGCTCTGCCTATGGCTCCTTCACCTCCAGCTATGGCCCCCACCCCCGCCCCCCGTTAGACACGCCACTGCAATGCCCATTCCCTGGGACCTGGCCCTTCTTTCCAGACAATCCCGAGCCCAACCACCTGGCGCAGGAGGCCCAGGTGAGACTGCGTCTCTGGACTCCCCTGACACCTCCCCTCTCCACCAGGCAGGAGCTGATGAGCCGCTGCTGGCAGCAGAACCCACGCCTGCGCCCCTCCTTCACGCACATCCTGGACAGCATCCAGGGGGAGCTGCGCCCCTCCTTCCGCCTCCTGTCCTTCTATGACAGCCCGGAGTGCCAGGGGGGCCGGGTTTCCCAGCTTCCCACCAAGGCAGAGCCCGACTCCTCCCCAGCCCTAGGAAAGGTCTCCTCAAACTGCAGCCCTCCAAATGGGAGCCTGTAGCCCTGAGGGCACCCCATCCCATGCTGACGGGCCTCACTCCCATGGACAGAGAGAAAGGGACCTGACCTCCCAGTCATGGGATATGCAGATGTTCACACCTCCACCCAGCCCCCAGACTGGGCAAGGGTGGCCCCGGTGGGGCAGGAGTAGGTGACCCACGGCAGGAACGACTGTCTCAGGAGGCCGAGTTCTCAATGAGCTAGGAAGCGGGGGTCACAACAGGGGGAGTGGGATGGGTCTGTGGACAAAACTTCTTGGCTCTCAGAGTGACTCTGCTCAGACCAGCAAGAGCGAGGCTGTCCACCTCGAAGACAGGGTCGGAGAAAGCCATGTTCCATGACAGAGCTTCTCTGGCCACCCCAGCCGTGACCACGTCCTGAAAACCAGAGGAGCGGTCAGAACCAGGCCTGGATCCAGACCTTCTCCGTCCGTGTTTGGATGCCTGTTGTGGAGCGTGCATCTGGTGGCTCTTCTGACCACTGACTCTCCCCTGCTCCCTGCCGCCCCCTCACCCATGTCTTGGGAAGAACCCAGGGGCCTGGGCAAGCGGCCTCCCACCCAACAGTCAACTCCTCTTCCCCTTTGACACCCCCCAGGTGCCCCCAAGCCTGGTGCTCCCCCTTTCTTTTCTCCAGGGGCAGGTCTTGGTGCAGAGCCCCTCCTCTCCCTGCCTCTCCCCACCATCTCCCTCCTGCCCCGGGATTAGCTAGACAGCCAGAGTCTCCCTCCCTTTCCTCCCCCACCTCTCCTGGGAAGACCGCAGAAGGCACAATGAATGGTGTGGTCTCTTTGTACCCTGGTCCAGGACCTCCCATTACCTCTTCATCTCTATGGTGTTAGCCTCGGATGAAGGCCCTCCCTCGCCCTCCTCTGGGACTGGAGGTGGTGACCCTCAAGCAGTGATACAAGATAAGCACACTGCTGTCAAACGCCGCCTCCACGAGGCCCCACGGACACCCCCCCCACTCCCCCACCCCACCCCCCACCTCCTGCCCTAAGTCCGGGCAGGGAGCCTTCGCATGTTTCTCCTGGCCTCTCCAGGATTTCCACCAGACAGGCGTTTCCGAATATATCGCACCGTAGACGTGAGCAGAACATAGGGTTGGGGGAGCAGCCCTGGTGACATCACCAGTCCACACAAGATGCTCCCCACCCCCACCCCCGTGGGGGGGGGGGGCAAGGCAGAGGTCACACACCAGCGAGGGGTCTGTGTGTCATGGTTACTCTGGGAGGGCAGAATCTCAGCTTCCAGAGTCCCAGAGGTTGAGAGATGGGAAATGGCCTGGAGACATATTAGAGGGGACACTGGGAAATCCAGTCCAAGGCTTGTACGTCAAAGCCGTGGGGGCTGGCAGAGGTGAAGAGTTACAGATTGACTTAAAACTTTGGAGGAAGGGTGGCCGCGGGAGAGGTTTTCAATATACTGAATTGAAAACCTCACCGCCGCTGTCCCGGAAGCCACAGTAAAATGGACCGGATTCTGTGCCAGGCTGTCTCTACATGGTTCTCGGGTCTCGGACTGGCTGGGCAGAAGGCTCAGCGGGAACCACGGTCTGGGGCCGCACCCCTGCCGGGCTCCTGCCCTTGTGACTTAAGCAACAGTGACCCCTAACGGTCATCGGTGGAGCTGCGGCTTAGGGAGAAGCCCTTGGTAGGTTTTTCATCTGTTCCTGGTCGCCAGCAGAGCTGAAGTCCCTGATGGGAGGCCCACACACCCACACAGGCACACAGGCACACCTGAACTGACTGGCCCCAGGGGCAGCAACGGGGCTCCCCCTGCTCGTCAACACGGATGTCCTCTAACCTTCACAGTACTGGACATTGCATGCTCAGGAGTGCTGGTCTTGGGGGAAGGCTTCAGAAATATACTATCTGGACTCCTGTCTCCCAATATGAGCAGCTGGTAGCTGGTCCAGGTGTAGGGATGCTGGAAGACACACACTATTGCCATCCATGTCCTAGAAATGGATTTGACAAGGTAGCAAGAGAGATGGCAGTTAGACTTCAGGAAGGACTTTCGAACTATACAAGGAAGCTAGTGGTTGGAAGAAGTGTCTCCTCTCAGAGTTTTCTGAGACAGACAATAGGTTGGCCTGAATAGAGAGAGATGAATTCCTACCATAGAGACAACAGAGTGAATGCAAGGCCCGAAGGAGATAAAGCAGAAACACCCTTCCTACCTCCGCTTCATACAGAACACAATACTCGTTCTTCAAAAATAAAAGTAATCTACAGCTGGCTGGGGAGGAGTGGGTAGTGGGCTGGAGACAGATAGCATGTCCACCCCCTGAAGCTGTCCTGTTGTGCCCATGATAGGTCTTCACCTGGGCAAAGGGATGGTGGGGGGCTCATGTCCCATGCCCTCCAATATCAGGAACAACTGATGCTCCTTGTGGGAGCCAGGAGGACAGGCTGGAGACTGCAGAGAGAAGACCAGAAGCCTGGGGCAAGGAGGAGGTGGGTGCAGGTAGAGGTGATCAGAGGCGAGGCTGGGAGAGCTATGCCAGCCCTCTGTGGAAGCAGGACCAGGTGGTACACTCCCAGGTCCCTTTCCTCAGGGCTCTGGTGACAGGGCAGAGGGCTGTGGCCTAGGTGGTCCCCATTCTCACCTATCCTTCTCAGAATGGACTGCTGTTCTCAAGTACCAAGGCCATACCCCATTGTCACCCAGAGCAAGGACAGAAAGGGTTAGAGGTAGCACACCTTGTGCTTGTGATTCAAGGATTGTAAATAATAAAATCTAAATCTGAAGCAGGGAATGATATCTGAGCTTAAATTGTTTAAGTGCCCAGTTTGCAAAAGACCATGAATGACAATGGAAACCCAAAGTCCATTTGCAGGGTCCCCACGTGGATTAAGCCTCCCACCAATCCCCTTTGACCATAGGATGTGAATAGCCTTGCTATCAGACAGAGAGCACTGTAAAGTGGATGATGGCAGAAGTCGTTAGGTTAAAATGTAACACCTTATCATTTGATCTTCCTTTTGATCCGTTTTAAAGTTGTTTCTGCTTTTATTATTTTCTGCTTGCTTTCTTTTTTTTCCTTCCCTTTATTGGCACACAATTCACATTCTGCTTTCTTCTTGATCGAGGGCCTCCTGTTGTGTTTAGTCACTGTTGTTGAGGGTTTTGTTTGTTTGATGGACCGGTTGTTTGCTCCTCTTTGTGCTTGGTGTGATTCTCGGTATGAAGTCCAGGATAGGTAAATCTATGGAGTCAGTAACTGGATTAAGAACTACCTAGGGCCATCGCAGGGCAAGATGGGGGAATGGGGGCTAACCACAATGACTACCAGAAGACATGTCCTGAGATTGCTTGTCATGATGGTTGCACAAAGCTTCTTCATATGACTGAATGATTAAGTCGTATGATATGTGAAGTATAAGCCTATAAAACTGCTGGGGTGTTTGTTTGTTTGTTTGTTTAAAGAAAGAGCTGGAGGTGGCAGGGAGAAGGTGAGGAGAGAGAAACAAAGAGGCCTGAGGGAGAGCTGAGGAGGGAGACTGGTGCTCGGAACCCTCTCCCCGCAGCGACGGACGCCCTTGAGAACGCCCCAAAGCTTCTCGCCCCTTCAGTCACTCAGGATCTGCTCCCCCAACCCTCCCTTCTTTTGACCAAGGACAGGGAGACGTTCTGCTTGATCAGTTCCAGAGACAAAGAGGGGCACAACCCAAGGGAAAAACATTGGTTGGTTGGTGGGCTGTGTCCTGCCCAGAAAGGGCCCGGAGGCCAGAGGCACTGGCGAGAGGTGAGCACGGTGGCAGGAGGGGTGGGGAGGGTAGGGGGGAATTAAGACTAGGGTAGCAGTAGGGAAGAAATTCTGACATGATAAAGAACAATTCTCATGAAAACAGAGCAGAAGCTGACCTCTCTGGAAGGCAGGGCAAGGGGAGAGTGTGGACAGGACAGAGCTTGGATGACTGGGCCCTACAAGGGAAGGGGACAGTTCACATCTGATGCTGGAAATGGTGGTCTGAGTGGAAATCGGCGGCTGCTCAGGCTGAAGAATGAAAGCCGGACACACAGAGACACCCCTGGGTGGGAGGTCCAGGTGTGAAGAAGACGGGGTGGGGGAGCAGAACAGGGTTTCCTAAGAGACCCCTGTGCAGGAAGCCTGGGGGCTGAAATAAAATAATGGCTGCCAAGTGCTTTGTAAGCGATGGAGCACTCTACAAGTTACTCTTCCTGGTATCTAATTGTGATTTCATTTTGGAAGATGCTGCACAAGTACACTCAGTGACGAGGAAAGATGACCATGATGTATTGTGGAGCAAAAGGAGCAGGTTACAGGTCATCTAAACGATGCCACTTTACTTTACATCCATATGTACAAACTCGGAAAAAGTGTCTCTAAGTGTGTCTACACACACATACGCACACATCTAGGTGACAGGATGATGGATGGCTTATTTCTTTTTGCTTACCTGTATTTTCTGTTTTTTATAAAACATGCATTATTTAGATGGCAAGAAGCAAACTGTTAGCTTTTTAAAAGAAGGAGGCTCCCCGCCCAGGTGACCAAAGTCTGGGCTTTGGAGGGGGTCAGAGTTCTACCCTCTCCCTGCCTGGTCTGTGAGATGCATCCCACAGGAGCATGGCCCAGCACAGTCTGGGCTTGGTCAGAGTTACTTCTGCTTCATGACGATTGGCGACACGTTTGGGCCCCGTACTGTGTGCCAGCAGATGGGAGGAGAGAACAAAAATGCACTTTCTCGGGGATTGCCAGCCACTTGGGATCCCCAACGTCCCCACCCCCAGGGAGGTTCAGAGCCTCTGCTTGCAGTCTTTAGGGTCACAAAAAGTGAGGGAATCATCCCTTCCTGTGACCCAGAGTCAGGGTCCCCACACCCTTCATTTCTCAGACAGGCCATGCTCATTCACCCACCGTGTCACTGCCCCCAGCTGCCCAGCCCCTCCTCCCAGTCTGAGTGGGAACCATCTATATCCCTAGGGCTCCCCTCATCTCTTTCCCCTCTTCCCACAAGCCCTCCCCTGCTATTCCTCCCTGCCTGCTCAGACTTGAATCCCATATCAATAATGCCTATGCTCAGGGCGGGGGGAGCAGGGAGGAAAGGGAGAAAATGAGGAGCTAATACCAAGGGCTCGAGTAGAAAGCAAATATTTTTGAGAACGATGATGTCCAACAAATGTGCTGGACAAAATGGATGGATGTATAGATTATAAGAAGTGTTGCATGAGCCCCCAATAAAATGATTAAAAAAGAAAACCAAAAAAAGATGCCTATGCTGGAAAAGAACTATATGTTTCCAAAGCATGGTGTTTTCTTAAATCCGCTGTAAAGAAGATGGTATCAATAAACTGAGTAGCAAAATGGTCGCCTAAGATCCCATAGCCAGCTATGAAAGCCCCAACCTCCTGCCACCACCCCGCTCCACCTCCAGGGTGGGAGGACAACTGGACTGTCCTCTCTGCTCCTTCGGTCTTTGTCTTCTCTGCCTTTGGGTCCTGGCATTCAAGCTGTGCCCTTACAGCAGCCCCCTGCCTGTCCAGCACCACAGGCTGTCCCTGCCCAACAGAAACTCCTGTTTCAATAAGTCTAGACTATTCTACATCTCAGCCTGCATCATGCTGTCCCGATGGGGACCCAAACCTCCCTGAAGGTAGGGAATGCCTCCTCACCTGCCACTGGGCTCTGAGGAGTGGTCTCCGGGAGGCAGCACGTCGTCCCATTGATTTGTCCAAAGTAACGTGTATGATTCAGGGCAAGGATGAGAGCCCAGCAGCTTATTCAGAGAGGTCGTTTGATGCCTACGAGCTCTACCCCAATAGACCCAAGGCACCAGATAATCGCAAGGTCAATAATGCAGCTTCTGTGTCCGAGGCTGCACCAGACATCCAGTAGAAGTTACAGAAACCAGAAGGGTTTGCAGGGGGAAATATTAGTGAATGATTAGAACTAGCAGAAAAGACTTATAATAAGA